ATAACATCTTTGGTACCAACAGTCGGCCTACTATTCCCAAAACTCCAACATAACATCTTTGGTACCAACAGTCGGCCTACTATTGCCAAAACTCATCTTCAACACGTTCTGTACTAACAGTCGGTCTACTATTCCAAAAACTCCAACATAACATCTTTGGTACCAACGTCGGCCTACTATTCCCAAAACTCCAACATAACATCTTTGGTACCAACAGTCGGCCTACTATTACCAAAACTCATCTTCAACACGTTCTGTACTAACAGTCGGTTTACTATTTCAAAAACTCAAACATAACATCTTTGGTACAAACAGTCGGCCTACTATTCCCAAAACTCCAACATAACATCTTTGGTACCAACATTCGGCCTACTATTGCCAAAACTCCAATACGACATCTTTGGTACCAACAGTCGGCCTACTATTGCCAAAACTCATCTTCAACACGTTCTGTACTAACAGTCGGTCTACTATTTCAAAAACTCCAACATAACATCTTTGGTACCAACAGTCGACCTACTATTGCCAAAACTCATCTTCAACACGTTCTGTACTAACAGTCGGTCTACTATTTCATAAACTCCAACATAACATCTTTGGTACCAACAGTCGGCCTACTATTGCCAAAACTCATCTTCAACACGTTCTGTACTAACAGTCGGTCTACTATTTCAAAAATTCCAACATAACATCTTTGGTACCAACAGTCGGCCTACTATTGCCAAAACTCCAATATAACATCTTTGGTACCAACAGTCGGCCTACTATTCCCAAAACTCCAACATAACATCTTTGGTACCAACAGTCGGCCTACTATTGCCAAAACTCATCTTCAACACGTTCTGTACTAACAGTCGGTCTACTATTCCCAAAACTCCAACATAACATCTTTGGTACCAACAGTCGGCCTACTATTGCCAAAACTCATCTTCAACACGTTCTGTACTAACAGTCGGTCTAGAATTTGCAAGGACGGAGACTTATTCATAACATTTTTCACGCACGACAATTGCATAGAAACTAACGGTATTTCATTTGCGAAGGGTGAGTTTTAATTGCGTTATTTTGTGTTCGGAGTTCAGCCGACGTTAAGATAACGCAAGCTGCCACTGACAACGCTCAGCCCTACAAATTGACAGGGATAATTATGGGGCTCGAAAGGGAAAGTTCCCTGCCGTGCACGCTTGATGACATGGCCTCGTTATAATTACTGTACTTTTTTGAAGGCTTGATGAGGTCCGAATTCGCATGCTTAAAAACATTTAAAAAAAAAAAAAACAAGCTATAGTTCATATCTAAAACTTGTTTCCCAGACCATTATTTTATACACACATATACATACACACACATACACCCAGACGCACATACACCCAGACACACATACACCCAGACACACATACAGCAAGTTGCACATACACCCAGAAACACATACTCATATGTTCAACAACAAAAAATGATTTTACAAGGGTATTTAGACGCTTAAGCTCTTAAGAGTGCTCACCTGCCCTTCTAAGCATCGCCAATAAGTGCTGACCCACTTTTATGAGAGATAAATTATCTCCAAATGAATGCTGACCCACTTTTATGGGAGAAAGACGAAAAGAATCATTAATGATTTGTGGCTGACTGACTGACTGGTTGGGTGGCAAAAATCATCGGTCGGATAACTGACCCACTCCCCGTCAAGCTATTGAGCTGAAACTTGGCACGTAGACTAGTTGCCAATGACAACACATTTTTTTCTCCACTAAGTGAAATTATTAATTTTTTAATATTTTTTTTTTATATCGCCAGGGCATTTGGTGCGTAACATTTTTTTGTTCTAAAATAGTTGCCGAAATAAATCTGGGTGTAAAAGTGGGTGGTTAATTACAATATTAATATCGATCATGGGCGTGGGGGGGGGGCGGAATAATCTGTGGTTGTGAGTCCTGCGGGAGGGGGGGGGGGGGCACTAATTGGGATTAGTATAAAGAAATCTGGGTGTAAAAGTGGGTGGTTAATTACAATATTAATATCGATCATGGGCGTGGGGGGGGGGCGGAATAATCTGTGGTTGTGAGTCCTGCGGGAGGGGGGTGGGGGGCACTAATTGGGATTAGTATAAAGTGCGCTACTTGTATGAATATTTTGTCAAATGTTTAGCCCCACCGCCCATTGCTCCTTTATTACATTTTATAAAGCATTTATAAGAACAGCTTGACTTTTAAGGGTGGTTTAGTGTACACACATCATTTATTTTTTTAAGAGAAAGTAGAGGGGGGGGGTGAGATAGAAAACGAAATGAGTTTACACCAAAATGGGATAGCAAAAATAAAATGTGGCCGCATCAGTTGGTTTATTCCAGGCACGTCGATTAGCGTGCGTCAGTGGCTCATCTGGAGATGTGGACGCAAAGAGCAGTTCACGGAGTGCATGCGGCCATCAGTGAGTAGGGGCTTTAAAGTGCTAGGCGCTGAGAGCACTGCGCGACACTTGGCTGAGCACTGCATGACACGTGGGTGTGTGCTACAGATGTATGAGTGTGTGTGCTACAGATGTACGAGTGTGTGTGCTACAGATGTACGAGTGTGTGTGCTACAGATGTACGAGTGTGTGTGCTACAGATGTACGAGTGTGTGTGCTACAGATGTACGAGAGTGTGTGCTAAAGATGTACGAGTGTGTGTGCTACAGATGCATGAGTGTGTGTGCTACAAATGTATGAGGGTGTGTGTGACAAATGTATGAGTGTGTGTGCTACAGATGTACGAGTGTGTATCCTACAGATGTACGAGTGTGTGTGCTACACAATGTATGAGTGTATGTGCTACAGATGTATGAGTGTGTGTGCTACAGATGTATGAGTGTGTGTCCTACAGATGTATGAGTGTGTGTCCTACAGATGCATGAGTGTGTGTGCTACAAATGTATGAGTATGTGTGTGACAAATGTATGAGTGTGTGTTCTCCAGATGGGTGAGTGTGTGTGCTAGAGATGGTGAAGGAAAGCACTGTCTTGTATGTTGATGTTTAAAGTGCTTTCTTGTTTGGTGATGTAAAAAGTACTTTATACTGTCTTGAATGTTGATGTGGCATCATGAACCTTCTTGTGCGTTGTAGACGGAACGTACTGTCTTACATGGTGATTTTTCAAATCCCTTGTGCCTTGTATATTGTAGATGGAAGGCACCGTCATATTTTGGTGAAGTGGAAAGAATGTGGATCATAATAATATCGTTATTACAAAGCATGTTATATGTTGGATTAACAGTATTTAAACCATTCAAGTCACTTCGACTCCCACCTTCTGCCTGTCAGTGCTAATCCTTCATCCCTAACCAGGCACCTAACACTCACGCGCACAGACCCCGGGGGACGGCCTGCAGATTCATTGGTCTGCCTACTACTTATCAGGTTGTTAGACCGGTTATACAGAAGCGATCATGCGCCGGTCACTAGTCTTACGTGGAATGGAATGGTCTAGCTCAGTGGCGTCACTGGGGGTTTGCGTGGGGTGCAGGCCGTACCGGTGGGGGGGGGGACACCAACCCTGGTGACGGCTCTGGTCTGTTTTAAAATATGTTTTCTTAATTTTAGAATGTCGGAATCGATGCGCTGAAACTGAAAATGTACATTGTTGTTGAACACACTCCCCGATGGGACTGCAACTATTAGTGTCTTATCTTATGTTATATTCCAGACGGACCCGGAAGGGATAATACAGTTCCGTAATAAACACCTTAGATCACTGTGTCCTGGAGCCACTACGATAAGAAGTCGGGGGGTGGGGGTGGGGGGGAGGGGGGCGACTGTGTCCCTGAGACACTAGCATAAGAAGACGAGGGTGTCAAAGTCAAGGATAACACCGGGCGAAACGAAACTCTAGTGATTCCACGCCCGAGCCGGGCTCTTGATAGGTCGGATCACACACAGTGGTCCCCCATGAATGAGTTGTCTAGCTGTGGCCATAGATACCATCGTTTAGACTTTAAAATAAAAATAAAAAAATTTTAAAAACTCATTAGGGCCAGACTTACGATTAATGACGTCATGTAGGACTTAGAATCCAATGTGTACATTATTTGAGGTTTTATTAAACAACGTCTAACAATTCGTTGTTTTTTTTTTGTTTGTTTTTTTTGTTTTTTTTTTCCCGGTTGAAACTCTTTTCTTTATTCCCCTACCAAAACAAGCCGTAACCCAGCAGTACGGGAATTTCTGAATACGATCCAGCATGCACAATCCAGCGACAGTTGCGAAGAGTCTACCAGTAGTTCTCAAAGTGGACTGTGCCGCACACCTTGGGGGGGGGGGGGTTGGAATAGCCCTAATGGGGTGCTCTAAAGCTAGGAGGATTTTGGGGGAGCGCCGGGACTGCCAACGCGGGTGGTCGGGCGTGGGGAAAAGGGAAAATCCGTTTGTTTGTTGTTTTTTTTTTTTTTTATTATTATTAACATTTTTGAAAGACATTTTAAATTCTGTTTTTGTCCAGGATGAACAACATTTCATTATTGTTGT